TCCTGCTGATGGGCACACAGGTCATCCCTTTCTGAAGAATGCAAGTAGGAGTAGTAGCAACCGAGAGAGGCATCACCCAAAAAACCTGAGAAGGTGTCAGGCAGCCACCTGGGAAGAGTCAAGAAGTGGGTAGTGGGGAGGTCTTCAACCTAGAGACAGCTTAAACTCTGGACAGCATCTGAGCAGTATGTCTACATCTCTCTGAAAAGGAGATTTATCTGGATAAATAGCATAGGATTTAGGGATGATGCGTATTACTGCATCAACAAGCACTGGGTCCCATAGGAACAGACCTGCACAGTGAAGCAGTTGTTGCTGATGCTCAAAATGTACATAGCTCTGGCCTGGTCCTGTGGATCTGCTGGTGCAGATGTGAGCTGGAGGGGGTAAAAAAACCCAAAAACATATCTGGAAAATTGAGGCAGATTTCCAGCACAGATTGGCAAGATGTCTTTGTAATTATTATTGTTATTTAAATAAACAATAAAGCAAGGTTTGCTAGGTCCAAAGTTCTAGGCTAGAGAGCTGGTCAGCAGGTAGAACGTGCTCTTGGGCCGTGGGCTTGACAGTGACTGGGCTGATCCCCGTGTTTTAGTGCCTCATTTCACTCTGGTTTTCCTCACCCTCGCTGCATTCCCTCTCACATCTCAGTTCTGGCCACAGCTAGAGAAGAGTCGAGTTCTGATATGCTCTGAACTGGGAACATGATGTTTTGAGGGCAGAAACTGTCATTTTCTTTACATTGCCAGCAGCTACTGAGGGTAAAACTCTTCAGGAGCGTGGTGCCACTCATCCCCAGCTGCTGCTTTGGTGACAAATCCTGCTCCCAAAAGTCGTGGACAGAAATACCAGTTTAGTGGCACCCGTATCCCTAAGACGGTACATCTGCTCATCTCCTGTTCCTCAGCTGAAGCCTCCCATGACCCCCTGTTTGAGATCCATGGAGCTTAATAAATGACTGACAAACTGGCTGCTGGGCTTACTGCTACGTTTTACAGCAGTATGGATTTGGCGTCGGTGAAAATACAGACCGATAGCACTGAGGTGTCATGTGGAGGTGGATCGGGCCAGAAGAAGAGCTGCACGTCACGCATACGGGGAAGCAGAGCTGCCTCCCAGGCACTGGGTGCTTTGGGATTTCTGTCCCTCACTTCGAAGGGAATTAGCTCGGACGTAGGGTATGCACAAGGCTTTGAAAAGTGGTGGCAAGTTGAGAGCCGGTCCGAAGGGAGATGAATTTTCCTGTGATGCTCTCAAATTTCTAAGGTGTTTTTTTTTTTTAATTGTAATTTTGTGAAGTTGTGTTTATGCCTGTTTCTTCTTGTTTCCTCTTTAGTGGTTGAATCAGAGCCACAATGCGTGTGTCAACTATGCAAACCGCAACGCGACAAAGGTGAGGAGACCCAACATATGCGGCGCGTGCGGCGCCTTAGGTCTGTTTTGACATGGAAACATAAGTCTTGTCTCTTCGCTGTTAATAGAAACTCCAGAGTCGGCACTGTGGTGAATTTATAGATTGGCCATTCTCCTGTGTAGACTTCCATTTTAAACCTCAGCTGTAAATGGCACGAGGATCTCAAAATCACTTGAGGCACATAAGTAACGCTCAATGCCTTTGAGCCGAACCAGTGTATAGTTCTAACTGGTATGAAATGGTTTCATTTGATATGTAAATGAGCACAAAGTGAAATGTCGTCTAGGTTTTTTGGATAGCAGAAGGCTCCATGATTGCACTGCTGTCTCCTGGGGACTTTCTGTGTGTTACCAGCAGTGGTACCGGGAAGTGGTGGGGCTGTTCCTGCTCTCTTCCATCACTTTAGCCTTCATTCATCCCATGTTGGGATGTGGGAAGCTCAAGACAGGAAGCCGAGTTGGAAACCGTCCAGCTCATCGAGATAATATTTCAAAGATAAATTTTTAATGTGGAGAGTTTGAGGTTCATCACTAATGTATAAGAACACTAATTTTATACCATTTGCTGAGTTTCATTCACATACTTCCTTTAAGCTGCTATTATTATAGTTTTCTGATGCCAATTAATTTTCCTTTCCCTTTAACCTTGCTCATGAGGCTACAGTTTTCCTTGCTTTTGCCGCTGCTAGATGACAGACCATGTGTCACAGAACAATATGACAAAATTAAACCTGTCTCTGGTTTAAAACAAATAAAGCGAAAACAAAACAAATAAAAAAGCTCGGTTGTGTTTTAATAACCAGAAGTTTGTTTATTGAAAATATGTTTTGTTTTTCTTTCCAAAGCCTTCTCCGACGTCCAAGTTCATCCAGGGCTACTTGGGAGCTGTCATAAGTGCTGTCTCAATAGCAGTGGGTAACGCTTTATATCTCTGTATTTCACTACAAAGTAACTGCTCCCTTACAGTAGTACTGCGGGGCTTTTGAGATGTTTGTTTGGATTGCCAAGCATGTTTATCTTTTAATTGACAGAATTCAGTCTACATAACCAGAAAATATTTTAACCGTGACGTGTCTCTGTCCGTGCATGCCCAAACTTTTCAAAAGGAGACTTCTCCCGCTGACGGCTTCCAGCACGTCCTGCACGCTGCACTGCCTGGGTCTCTGCACCGTGGCTTTGCTGCTCGGTGAACTCAGATTGTCCATCTGGGCATTAACTCGTGGTGAATTAGCCTAGTCCAAGTTAGAAGAGTGACTTTGAGGCTGCAGAGTGATAGTGTGAGAGCTGGTGGGTCAGCACCTTGGATTAAAAGAGCCACAGTGCTCGAAATGAAATCTTTTACCTTTGGATGGCCTTCAAGCTGGCAACAGTCTTCAGGTCCTATCTGAAATAAATCTGTAAGAGAGAAGCTTTTAACGTTGTCATGGTCTTGTGGTGCAGTCATCAGGCTTTTAATACTCAGATTCCCCAGAAGCACAAGTTGACGTCTTTAGCAGGGTCAGCTAATTCCCAAGGAGGCAGGTGTGTTTTTTCAGGAGCAACTTATGGAAGTTATTTCTTACGTTGGGTTTTCAAATAAACCTCTGAAACACATAGTTGTAGATTTTCTGCTGGAACGTTAAAGATTCCACGGCAGTTTGTATTTTTTGCCTCTGGACAAGACTTTTTTCCTTTTTCTCAAGCCACAGACATCCTTTTCCAGGCATTTTTTCTGCAAACAGACTGTGCCGTGGGAGGAGGTGAGCACCCAGCCTGCTCACCATGCCATTCGTACCGAGCTTACACAATTCACCTTTGGGAAGAAGCTGCATGGGCTTGTTGAGATTTCTTTACAAGGTAAAACATTGACTAGAGCAGACTGGAGATCCTTAGGAGAACTATGGAGGCAGGAGCTACTGGCTGGGAACTGGCAGTGAGCAGTTTAGCACGTCATGTGCTAAACATGGACATGTGTCCATGTAGTGGACAGCAGAGAGTCTGCACAAAGCATATCTCTGTGTTCTCCTGTAGCTGCCAGACAGCTTTGCACCGGTGGTAGCAAAGGGCGTAGAGTTGGTGAAGTGCTGTGGAGTTTCGAGTGGAAACTGTCCCTTTTATTGGATACGCTTCTGCTTGATAGTTTTCTGTGTCGCTGGCTTGGCTTGCTCAAGGGTCACCTGTATTGTCCCTTCACTGCAGAATTAACCCAAACTGCGCACGCAGGCCAGCCGTGTGTTGGTGTGAGCTCCTACGCTTCATATAACCCCATGAAGACGTGTCCACACCAGCGCCATGCTTTTGCAGTTGAAGCACAATCTGAGTCTCTGTCTCACTGACTTCAACACTTTGGTTAGCAGCTGTTCTCTGTCCATTGTTTCCCAGTGTAGCATGACTGTCCTCCTCGGGCCTTAGTTCAGAACTTTTTCCACCTTGTGAAATAGTAAAGCGAAGTTCTCCAGCTTGATGTGCTACTGCTGCTCACGACCTGCCTTCCAACTCCCAACATAGCTGCAGCAGAGGGATGGTGACTGGTTCAACGGTCTTGGCACTAATCCTCTCCATTTTGGCAACAGGGGCAGATAGAGGGCAGGAGACATGGAGAAGTGATGTTGGCAGAGTTTTGTCACCCCGAGAAGCTGACAGGCTTTGGTAAGGAAACCACTGGGGTGGCGAGTGGAGATGTCCATGTTGGGACAGCTGATGCAGGTCTTTAAAATCTCTGGTTCCTCCTAGGCTGACTGCAAAGTCGCTGAAGCAGAAAGATAGGATCAGAGTGCAGAAGTGACCATCAGTGGTGCTGCGAGAAACACTTGGTCTCTGAAACAGTGTGAAAAACTACACCAAGGCTTGTAGATGAAAGAAATTACAGCAAACCAGCAGTGGCCTGCTGTTATGGCAGGGTGGCTGTCACCGCTGGTGACACATGGGTAGCTCTTCAGTCTGCTGATGGTAGATCAGCTCTTTGTCCTGTGGTGGTTTGTATGTCCCTTAGTTGCATCGCTGGTGGTGAAGGAGCTGGTGGTCTGTACAGAGCAACAAACTCTGAATAAATGCCGAAGCTGAAACGATGCTGGGATTTATCTGTCCACATAACTGGTAGGTGTATCTCCAGCAGGAAGCCCCAGTGCCTGGTGATCTTATGCACCTCGGCTGTCCATCATGGGAGAGCTTTAAAAGCACCATGAGGAAAAATGATGCCACAATATTTTGTACTTAACAGCATTTCAAGCTCGTGCAAATGGAAATTTTCAGTGGTGTGGATGCTCAGAAGGGTGTTGCTGCCTTCTTGTGTCAGTTCCACGATGGCCCCACCAGATGGGCCTTCCACTGGGACACCCTTAGCACATGCAAAGAGTACCATGAACTCTGTCGTAGCAGGGCTTTTGTAGCTGTGGTGCTCACAGAGTCAGAATATTGTTACAGGGAGGAAGGAGCTTTCCTTAGGTCTGTTGATGTAGTTGGAGGAGCAGGGAAGGGCAGCAGCCTTCATGGATACTTTCTCCTTCCTGATGTTGGAAGGAGGTCTCCTTCCAAAGTGGAGCATAGGATATACATGGGATATATGGTGCGTAGAGTGTGCGAAAATGAGATGAAGTTGCTTTGCACCAATGTCCCTGTGTAGACGAGGACACTACCGATGTGTGTGTCACGGCAGAGTAACGTGTGTCCTGATAATCCTTAGCACCAATTTTTGTGTGCTCATTTATAGACTCACAGAATGGTTCGAGTTGGAAGGGACCGTAAAGATCGTCCAGTTCCAACCCCCCTGCCACGGGCAGGGACACCTTCCACTACACCAGGTTACTCAAAGAGTCATCCAACCTGGCCTTGAACATTTCCTTGCACTTAGCCTTGTTGAACTTCATTAGGTTCTCACAGGCCCACCTCTCCAGCCTGTCCAGGTCCCTCTGGATGGCGTCCCTTCCCTCCAGTGTGTCGACCGCACCACACAGCTTGGTGTCATCTGCAAACTTGCTGAGGGTGCACTTAATCCCACTGTCCCTGTCACCCCTGAGGAACACCACTCGTTCCTGATGCAGAGCAGCCTAGAGAAAATCCTGCGGAGCAAGGAGTGCTTTTTACATTGTAAATATCTGGATTAATAACTAGCATCTCCTTGAGCGTTTGTTGTTTTGTTTGGTTTTTTTTTTTTTTAAATTGATGATGACAAATAATGTAGAAATAGCCCTGAGGTTCATTACGTTGGCTTGTGAGGCCTCAGCCCTCATTAACTGATCTCTGCTGTCAGTTAGCGACAAATCACCTCCCAGTGTGAGCCCATTAGGACCAGATGACCTGAAAACAAGTGCCACTGCCTCCAGTGGTCTGCTGAGACCCGGTATTAATTAAAGCGAGCCCCTTCCATGTTTGCAGTTGGCAAGCGGCACGGGGAGAAGGCTCATGAAGTGACAGATCAGTTGACTTGTGATTGTGCTTCCCATCGTCTTCGCCCTCCGTGTCTTTATCTAACGAGAGGGACAAACAAAGTGCTTTCTCTCACGTACAGAAGAGCAGATTTTGGCTTTACGCTTCTTGCAATTAAACTTAGCAAATCTTTGCAAATAACCTGATTTTTTTCCTGTTTTAGAGAGAGAAGAATTGCTGTCAGAGAGAGGCAATGCTTCTCTCTTAGATCCAGTGCTTCATCTGGGACTCCTGATTTGCAGCCTTTCAGGATGAGTTTTGTGAGGCATCAATATTCTTTTTTTTCCCAATATTTTTCAGTATTTCAATAGTTTGTCCCCAGTATTCCCCTTTTTTTCCCCTCACCTACTCCCAACTCAACACGATTCACAGCATACCTTCAGGCAAGGAAAGCGATGCCAGGTCCGGAATTTTCTCTCTTCACCTGCAGAGCGCTCAGGTGAAGCAATCGCGTGAAGCAAGGCTAGAAAAGACATCAGAAGGGATCATTTTAAGAGCGAATGTGGGAAAAGAGGTGAAAAGGCTGATATCAACAGATCTCTTCCATCTCTAACTTCTTACGTGACGCTTCTACACCATCTCTGCCACCGGGCGCGTGCTGAGACCTGGGCTACCAGCGCCACGCAAGCATGCGACGTCTCCGAGCTTTACTCGCGGCGGACAATATGTTTAGAGGAGTCTGATGACCATTAAGTAACCTGGATTTCTGTTTCTTCCTCTGTGACTGTAGTTTATTTTTATCACGTTCTCCATACACCTGCTTCCTTCCCACCTTTCCTTTTGATTGCTTTCGGTTTACTGCTTTTCCGAGCACTGAGCGGTAATTGTTATTTTTTAAATTTTTTTTTTTTTCAAGTAAACGAGTGAATTCCTGTGATTAGGCCTTATTTTCTGATTTCTGGCTGCTGTTCATGATGGTGGTGTACGAAGCCCAATTAATACCAGCTGGTTTTCCTAAGCAAGGCAAACAAAGGCGGAGAGTAGTAAAAAGACTTAAGAAAGACCAAGCATGTTTTAAATGGTTTTTTTCCTCCCCAAATACTCTGGTGCCAAGAGCTATACTGATCAGAGGGCTTGTAATTGTACAGAAACCCTTTCCAGCAGACACACACGCACGCACACACGTTCTTGCTCTCACCTAATTGTGTCACACTTTTCAAAGCTACGTAATCAAAACCATTTTTTTGTTAATAACTGAGTTTTACATATTTTATAAGTGACTTTCTTAGTTTCAGATCCAAACTCAATTTGCTGCTCTATTGCTGATTGCTTTTGCGTCTGATTCAGCTCTTCAGCACTATGACCTTGGACTGTAACTTCAGTTTGAGGTCAGAAGTGATTCCTGCAGCTGCAATTAAATGCTGGCAAATTAAAGCAGATCCAGAGAAGGGCTGTGAGCAGCTGCTCACTGGTTTTTGGGTTGTCACAGGTGCCAAGACCAGCAGACTGGAGATGGGTGGTGTTAGCCCAGGGCTTGTCCCACCTGGAGACTGTGGTGGTGAGTCAT